GTATTGAACGGGCGAATATGATCAGGAACTTCCCACTAGGCTTCGTTTGGAAGTGGAAATATGGTTTCAACATACGCAGCTCTCCAGTTTTCAGCAGTGTAATAAGGAGAGCACAATGTTCTCACTGCAAATCCTCGATACATAGTCACCGCAACTGCATGCTCACGTGGAAAACTCTCTAACTGAAATTATTTACAAATGCATGTTCCATCAGTCAAATCTACCATGTATATCGTATGACGTGCACATTCCACAGAAGCGCGACTCATCTAGTGGTTTGACATTTAACTTTCTCGCAGCCTCTACAGTCTTAAAGAGCTTTACCTCTTGCACCGGGGCTAGCACGCTAGTACAATTATGTGATTCCGCATGTCGATCGTGAAACCAATGTTGCAGCTTCGTACGTATATTCTCAATCAGTGCGAGAATGGGTAACTCTCGATCCTTCTTAAATAATGCATTGAGAGACTCCGCGTTATTTGACGTCATCATATTGTATCGACGTCCTGAAAAATATGAGTGCGCCCAATGTTCAATCCCCATTTTCGTTAGATAGTCCCATGCGGGAAATGATTTGTTTCATACTTCAACCATGTACCTATTACACTCTTCAATACTGTAAGCTTCGACCGTTCTCCTAAACAGCGAAACGATGCCTTTGCCCCGATACCTGGTCTTCAAGTTTCCTTGTATATGGTACATACAATAGCCACGATGTGCATCAAGAAAAACTTCAACGATACCATTTATTATACACTATCCCCGATCGGTTACAAATGCAAGGTCCTCGACTTCCCCGATTACTTCCCTGAGCTTTGTGAAGAACCAATGCATCGACAAATCATTCTCATTATCAACTATGCCGACTGCAAAAGGGTAAATTTGGATGTTGACATCTTGACATGTAGCAATAATCAACTTGCATTGGTATTTAGATTTCAGAGTTGTACTGTCGACTAGAATTAGGGGTCGCATAGCATTTCAAAATCCTCGAATACATTGTCTAAGAGCTATAAAGAAGAATTTGAAGCAGTTCTCGACCTCTGTCTTAATAAAAAATACTGAGCCAGTATTAGTTTTCTCTGTGTTATGGCAATACCTGGCCAATTTAGCATAGCTTTCCTTTGTGGAGTCCATTAAATCTTCTAACGCGCATTCTTTGGCCTTCCAAGCTTTCTGGTAGCTCATGACTACTCCTTACTCTCGACGAACATCGTTAATGATGTCCAATGGTCTGTAGATTGTTCGTGGATCCTGATACTTGTGCATTATCTGTCGACCAATAAATCAAGTTCGGGCTTGCCTGTGATCATTGCGACAAACTCTCACTTCACAAGTATGTTCTCGTGTATATTTGTGAATTACGAAACACTCATTCGTGTCCATTTTCGTCACTCGCAAACGCCAACTGCAATTGTCGTCTATGCATTATAGCATCAACAACAACCTATTCGATTTTTTCACTCTAAACTCGAAGTTGTATTTCAGTGCAATTAGGTGCACGGCTTCTTGCAAATCTTTCTTCATTTCAAATAGTTGCTCGACATACAAATCCTCATTATCGGGAACCACACGTGAGGAGTTAGAGGACGGTCCACTCGATCTAGCCCCCGAGGTCCCACCTCACTCATGTCTCTGTCGGGATAAAGCAATCAACTCCTCGTTTGTAAAAGTATTTGCATTTTCATTCTCGTTGTCACGAGCTGGGGAGGGGATTCTGCGTGCAACCATCTCAGGAATAACCACATCATCTTCACGAACTATCTCCACTGTATCCCAAAAATCATTAGCATTGTGATCCCCATCTCCCGAGTTTACTTGTTCATCTTCGATGACATCATTCCTTACTAAAGTCAGGCAAACAGGAGTCATGAGCTTATTGTTCAATTCAATTAGATAATTCACTTCATCAACGAAGAAATCATTATAGGTGGAATCGAAACTGATGCATGCTCGCTGAATTTAAATTTCAATTCCATGTTGTACTGAGAAATATCAACATTCAACTTGTTTTGTAAATCATTATAGAGTTCTACATACGATGTGCCTAATGATATGGAAATTGCGATACCACTACGTTTAGCACTTGTCAATTTCCATACACATTAATCTCTTTCGTCCAATTCGAAATCACCAAAGTAACAAACTGGGACTACAACCATATCCGCATGTCGAAACAGAATTATTAATTATAAGAAAAATATAAAAGGGGGAAAAAGGAAAAATAGTTGACAAACAATCAATCAAACAACCGGCTGTTTGGGTTTAACAGCCGATCAAACAGCCGAATCACTGGCACGCGTCAAGCTGTTAACACTCAACACTCGTCCGACAATATATGCAGATGAATTTTTTTTGGTCAAATGCTTAAAAAATTACAAATCTATTAATTTTTTTTTATCTACATTATCATTAAATGTCGAAATACAATTTATCGATTTAAATGTACAATAATTTAATGAAAATAAGATTAAATTTGCGTATATAAACTTACCGAACCGACGAGATTGATGTCCACAAATTTTTCGGCTTTCGATTTCGATAAATTTTTTAGTTTTGCAGTTGAAGCAGATGAAGGATGAGAGTGTTTTATTTATCTGTGTTGAAGTAAACAGATAAGAAAAGTAAGAAGTGTTTGGTTTTTATTTGTTAAGTAAAAGGGTATTGATATCTTTTACAAAAATCAACTTTTGTAATTGTATAATGTATTTAAGGGTATTTTTGTCTTTTAACATTGGATATATCATTTTTATAATATCCCGTTGTTGAAAAGTCAATATGGAATTTAGGTGATTTGACTAAGTAAATTTTAAAAGTACCACCACTTTTAGTTCATATTTTGCTAAGGTTTTTATGGATGACATGCTGATGTAGAAATAATTGAAGAGTTAAAAAGTAATATTATTAGCAAAAATAATCGATAACAATGAAGTTACCTTTTTAGTAATTAGAAGCTAAGCCTTCTGACAATGTTAAGAAGAAGCTTAAGAAATATTTATTAAACATAAGGATTAAAGTGTGCTGTACAGAGAGAAGTGTGCGTGTGTGTGTTTACGGCATGGAAATACTAGAGGATATTTTGAAAATGAATTATGCTATTTGCAGTCGCTCACTGCGACAGTCGTCCTACGTGACATACACATGACAGGTGATTATTTGATGCATTAATGAATAAAAAAAATTATCATATTAATGCATCAAATAATCACATGCCATGTGTATGTCACATAAGGGGACTATCGCAGTGAGTGACTACGAATAGCATTACTCTTTGAAAATATTGGCAAGTCATTTCTTGGGAACAAGTGGCCTATAATATCTTGGAGCTTTTAAAAATTTAATTTTCTTCAAATTCTTTTTTAACTTTGCATTGTGTACAATTGACACTTTCCAATACTTTTTAACTATACATTTTTTAAAAACTATTTTTCACTTAAAAAAATATCTCTTACGAAAGCTCTTATTTTTGAAACTTTGCAAACACATTGAAGAGGAAACATTCCTTGAATATCAGCATGGAAAAAAGATATTAAAATTTTCTTTGTTGTTTAATACATGCAATCCGTACCAAGTATATTGTTTTGGGTTGTATGATATACTAAATTAAATACGCTTGAATTTCACGTTGAATTTGATTTAAATTTTTTAGGTTCCCACTTTGAATATCATATGTACTTGTATAAATTGGTCGGTTCAATCAAGCATGAATTAAGTCCATGTTTGGTTTCTATTTTCCAAATGAAGTTTTTCTTCTAAGAGTTTTACTATGGTGACAGGCTCAACAAGAGTGTTAAAAAAATGAGATACAGGTGTCGCAATATCATTTGACATTTAGAGGGAAAAATTAAAAATAAAATAAACTACCTATACAAGCACCAACATAGCACTTGTCTATTTTTAAACCTTGTTTGAGTAGTATTATTTTTCTTCAAACTCATTTTTAACTACACCTTTTATGGAACCCATAACTTTTATCAACTTTTAAATCAGATATTTCGTCCAATTTTATCAAAATTTACTAAAATATATTTATCTAATCAAACTGAGGCCAATTGTTACTGGCAGACAAATAATGACAAGTTGAATTTCTCTCTTCTATCCTTCAACAAAATTCGTCTACCTGCCGCATTTACCCCCAAAATGTGAACATGGCCATTTCCATTTGTATAGGATTGGGGGGAATTGAATGATGGAAAAATTCAATTTCTCGAGACATGTCAAGACCGCTTCTTGAAATTGTTAGTTTGACGATTATTTTAAAGAATTAATCTAAAGTGATCGAAAATTGGTGACGGAAGCCATGAAAGCCTCTCATGCGTGGGACTACGTGAAAAGAAAAAAAAAAAAAAGGGGCTCAACCCCTATTGTGAATGTTCGGTTACAACCTCCCTGTCAGTATAGTAGCATCATTGTGTTTTAAAACCATCTCCACAGAGTCTTCAACTCTCAAAATTTGCACCATACAGGAGCTTGATAATTAAAAGGATAAATTAACATTCTCTTGTTATATAGACTTTTTTTTTTTTTATGATCCTTTTTCTATTATCATGCGTGCAATAATATGTTTGATAAACGAAATTAGATATAATTAATGAAATTTGAACTTTATTCCTTGATAACGTCCACTACCATCTTATACTAGTAGGATCGAATTTTCTGTGCTCAAAGATATGATAAAACTACCATGATCAAAGACTTGGAACTTTCATTAGCGGTTAAAATGTACTGCATCTAGTGGGAATATAGTTGCACTTAATAGTTTCGAAAGTGTTCTTGTTTCAACATGCATGAGAGAAACAGACGTTGTCAATGCTAGGATCACGTTAAGGAATCCGTCTCCCTGACAATTACAGCTATTTTGAGTTAATTCAAGGCTTATTATTTTCAAGTCTCTGGCAAAAACTATTTTAAATATGACAACTTGAAACCTGTAGCAGGCATTATTTTCAAAAAATTCCAACATATACAAGTAGTAGTAGTAATAATAATAATAATAATAATAATAATAATAATAATAATAACACTTTCTTAAAAATCTGAATTTCAACAGCCAAGCAAAGGAATACATGATTCATGTACACATATCCTAGCCTAGGAAACTACGACCTAACCAATAAAAATACGGACTCACAATTGCCCTCAAAGGACCAAAAAATGGTAGAGATTATAGGGTCTTTAGTCTCCCTGCACAAAAAACACAAATATAATTAATTACCAAGATTGTCAAAAATTGCTGCAGATGAACATGCATCAAGCAGAATAGGTGCACGACCGGACAGATCCAGTCGAGGCTAAGCGAAAACAACAGCCAGAACATTATGAAAATGCCGGATCATTATCTCATACGAGAATTGAACATCACTGTACAGTTCTGATGTTATAGCAGAGATCAGTCTTTGGGTAGAGATATAATCATAATCCTTTGTTAACAGCTCCATACCAGTCATACGTCAAATCCGGGCATTGCAAACTGGGATGCAAAACATTCAACTTGCGTTTGGAGCTCGACAATTTCTTTATTATTCTCAAGTCCCTTCAGAAAAGCATTAGGCAATTTCGCATGTTCTCTTTGTACAGAACTAGCAATTTGTGCAGCTCTAACAAGAAAATCAGCAATCGTCTCAAAATCATCCTCCAGACAGCCTCTTGATGTCATTGCAGGAGTACCTTCACCATATACATGAAAACTATCACTACTGTGCAAATCCTTGTACCAAACACAGCTTATGAAAGTAAAGTGGTGTTTACTCACCAATTCTTACACCTCCAGGGGTAATATTCCCACTATCATCAAAAATTGTAACTTTGTTGAGGGAGATGTGACACAGCTCACAGACCTTCTCGAAATTTTTACCTACAAATCACAATTACTAGAATAAATTATTCTACAGTTAAAAAATCAGGGACAGAAACATCTTCTAAACAAGCCAGAGTCTATCAAAACTCCAACACAAAGGATGGGCATTGCTGTGATTATTACCCTAGATGCAAGAGTTCACAAAGAAGCCAACCACATAAATCAAGAAAAGGAATTTCTGCAAGATGCAGAACTAGGTTCATACAATATTCTTGATCAAGTCAAATTATAACTCTATTCTACTCTCCAGAATAATTTAGTAACATATCGAGTAAGTTCAAGTTTCAAGCTCTAAAAGTTACTATTGACCAAACGACTACGGAAAGCCTCGACATATCAAGTAAGTTCATTTTGCATTAAATAGAAATTTCATTTTGCTAGAACTCGACCCCAGCTGTTCCAAGTAGAATGGCAAACAAAGTCCCAAGCTCTAAAAGTTGCTAACCCTAGATAACGATATTTTCTTCTCAGGATCTAAAAAACCTCCAATTGTCTCTATATTGGCAGAATTCATTAGCCATCATATTCAATGTTTAAATCACCCACCAGCCACCACAAGGTTAACATAGAGAAAGAATTACCATAAAATACTGAGATGATATCAACAGAAAGATCCAAAACACATTTTGTCAAGACCCCATGAAAACTTTGAAAACAAACAGGTTTAAAAAACTATAATTCTGAGCAATAAATTGCCAAAAAAAAATTCAAAAGAGACGGAGCAATCAAACTACAATGATGCATTTGAATGTATTTTGGTTGTCAAAAGCATCAAAATGATGAGATGGCCGTAAAATGTTGTGGAACAAACAATATACCTGTCAATCCAAGATTTCTTAGATCCCAAAGCAACATATGATTGTCGGTGCCTCCAGTGACCAGCCTACATTTTCTTGTTAATAAAGCAGATGCTAAGGCCTGAGCATTTTTCTTCACTTGTTGCATGTAAGTCTTGGTACTCGAGAGTAGCCACTTGTTTCAAAGCTATTGCAAGGGCCGCAATGCAGTTGTTGTGTGGCCCCCCTTGCAATGCTGGGAAAACAGCAAAGTTTATCTTTTCCTCAAAATCGTATCTATCACTGCCATCACCTTGATACAAAAGCATGCCTCTTTTCCTTGGCTTTGGGCCCTTCCTGTAGAAAATAATTCCTCCCCTCGGACCTCGAAGACTTTTATGGGTTGTAGATGTTACAACATCACAGTATTCAAAAGGATTTGCACACTCCTACAGATACAAAATTACTTTCATGATTAAAGGATCAAAAAGTTCTGTTTATCAAAAAGAAAAATAGAAGCAGATACAACTCCAAAATTAAAATACAAGGCAGTAATGGAGAGAACATATTGCAAATATATTCAAATCACCAATTTTCAGAAAACCACTAAGGGCAAATAGTCTTATTTTGCATTATGTCTATGTATAAACATGAAGAAAACTGAGCCAGATGCACAACATACAAGACAATTCCTATAATGAGTGATAATATTTCTACATACATGGAATTGAACTGACATTCTCATTGACTGAGGAATGAAATTATCTTCAAGTTCGAATTATAATTTGTTAAGGATGCATAAAGTTATTAAACTGAATGTGAATCTATATCAGGCATTACTATTAAACTGCTAATCTGAAATTAAAAAAATATTTAATTAGCCTAAAAAACTAGTTCATGCAGCCAAGATCTCACATCAAATACCTAACTGAAACAAGTAACTTATTTATTAAAGTTATTAAAGTGACATTCAAAATATTCCTCGCTTATGATGTAACCTACATACGGAAAGAAAAAGTAAGAAAAGAAAAGAAATGAAGAAGGCCATAAAGTTTCTACATGATGGTGCAATTCCCATCCAATAAGTTATTTCAACTGGTAAGGATGTCAATAAAAAAATTCACTCTAACTACAGATGCGAAAATTAATGAACTTGGTGACGTCATACGAGACCAATGATATGAAACTTAATCTATTATTTCAGAACTACACTGAACACCAGAAGCAAGAAAGTTAAAGTTGGAACTATCAGAAGAAAAGTATGTATCAACCATGACCAATACAAAGTCCAACTATGCCGTGGACATTAGTAGCTTCTAGTGAGCTGACATTAAAATTCAAAGACTGCATGAAGTGTGAAGACATTCAATTTAAAGTGAGAGGATTGACCAATGGGCGTTGATAAAACAAGTCACAAATTCAGTTAATACAAAGAAAAAAAGTAGGACAAAAGATTCTGCACATGGAAAGTAATAACTAATTGATAAAAGAAACTATTCACCTTGGCAGCAATGAGACCACTAATCTGAGCCATGTCACACAGCAACACCGCTCCACATTTATCAGCTATCTGCCTAAACTTTAAATAATCCCACTCCCGAGGGTATGAACTCCCCCCACAAATCAATATTTTTGGGCGAAAATCGATTACCCTTTCTTCCAGCTTATCATAATCTATATACCCAGTCTGTGGGTTCACCTTATATGGCAAGCTCTCAAAGAAAATTGAAGCCCCTGAAACTTTCCTCCCATTAGGCAAATAGAAGCCGTGACTCGTGTTTCCACCAGAAGGTGTGTCCAAACCCATTATCCGATCGCCCGGCAATAGCAACCCAGTATATACAGCAAAGTTTGCAGATGTGCACGAGTATGGCTGCACATTTACACCCCAATGTTCAGAATCAAGCCCAAAAGCAGTCAAAGCACGCTCACAACAGAGTGTTTCAATTTCATCAATGTATAAATTCCCACCGTAATATCGGGCGCCTGGCATTCCCTCCGAGTATTTGTTCGTCAAATGGCTTCCCAACGCCTCCATTACAGCTTTACACACAAAATTCTCAGATGCAATTAATTCAATTCCTTTGTACTGCCTCTGCTTCTCCTTCTCCATAATTTCATATATATCCGGATCCGAGACTCTCAAGCTTTGATTCCCCCAAGCCCTAACTTCATTCCTACGCGACTCCAGCTCATTAGTAGAAGTCCTATTACTCTTTGAAGAGGAAGACGAGGAAGACCCTGACTCACAATCCCGCTTCCTCTTCAAACACATCGAGTGCCCCAATATCCGAAATTCCTTCACATCTTTTTCCTCATCCTCTCCACTAACTATATTTTCATTTGAACTATTTTCAGCATGGTGAGTGTGATTCTCCGTCTGCTGATCCATCAATTGAAGGGCAATCGATGGAACCCTAAACGACGGGTCTTGAATCCTCGACTCAATTTGGAATGATATTGAATCATCGGCAATCTTTGGGCCCCGATTATTATTCGCGGGCGTTGGCAACGATGAATGAGATAAAAACCCTGACGAAAGATTAGAATTGGATGGCGATTGACCTAAATCCATTACGAAGAGTGAACCGAGTAGCAATACATAACACAAAACAGTTGTTTGAGGCTTTCAACTCTATCGAAATGACACCCTATATTATCTCAAAAATGAAGAATCAGCAGCACTGGTAGCTACAAGAAAGACGGCGTAAACGTTAGTCAAACCTGGCGGCGGAAGTGAATGTGGCGGAAACGTAAAATGGTGAAACTCCCATTGGAAAAACTTCAAGAAATGGATTCGGAATTCGAACTTCAGAGGTGCTGAATTTGGGAATCTTTATACGGGGAAGAGATGTGGAGTGGATTTGACAAGGAACGGTAGATTCGAGTGGGGATGAATCTAGACGAATTACGAGGCAGAGGGCGGTGTGTAGCGTTTTGCGGTCATAAGCTGTGAGACTAGTGGAAGTTTCAATGGTTTTATATTCATTGAATATTTTGAATTTTGTATCGACAAAATTTACTAGTCCTGGAGCTCAACGCCCCCATTAACGAGGTGGTGTTAGGTGGGAGAAGTCGATGAGCATATCAGTTCCGAGTTAATTATTTCCTCTTATTTCAATCATCATCGAAGTTTAAAACGTCGAATTTTGATCATTATAATTAAGTCTATGTCTTCAATTGCTAACTAAAGTTTAAAATGTCGAATTTTAACCACTAAACTTTGAAAAATATTATACATGTTACTCGTCAGTTTAACTTTCGTCTCAAACATTTAATAGAATTGGTGACATGTAGGGGTGGTAAATGGGCCGAGCGGCTCGTCGGTTCGTAAAAACGGAGCTCGTGGATGGCTCGGGCTCGTAAAAACAAGAGCCCAAGCGCGAGCCAAGTGGGCCGGTTCGGTGGGCAAGCTGAGCCCGCTCGGCTTGCACAAAAAACGAACTGCTTGCAACGAGCCCGCGAGCGGCTCGTTTGGAAACGAGCCACGAGCCGTGGCTCGTTTTGAAATGTGACCATTTCGGTCACTGACTTTTTGTCAGTGACCGTTTCAATCCCTCATTAATTTTATTATTATTATTATTATTTTATTTTTATATGTTTTTGACCGTTAACAGTCATTGAATTTTTTCAGTGATCGTTTTGGTCCTTAAATTTAATTTTTTTCTTTTCTTCTATAAATAATGGCATTTAGCAACAAATTTTTTTACAATTCTCTTAACTCTCAATTATTTTTCTCTCAAGTTTATTTTATTGTGTTGATAACTTGCAATTTTTATATACAATATTCAATTCTCATTTCTCAGTTCTCACTATATTTACTGAAATTTCATCCAATTTTCATTTCTCACTACAATTATACAATTATTCTTCTACTAGTTATTACTTATTACAACTAAACAAAT